AAAAAAAGAGACGCCTAAGCCAGGTCAAGCAAACCCGATGCTTGCTGAAAACACGTGGCCCGCGCGTATTATGGGGTCGGTACCTTCGAGATTTAGATATAGGAATAAAATAAAAATCATAATAAAAGAAGAATCGGACGTCAAATTTGGAAAAAAAAAATCTAGTGTCGACACACCCACAGATAAAGGAGTCATATTCGAGCCTCAGTTTCCAACCTATTCCCGAATCTGAGCGAGACATCATTGGCAGAAAAGAGTGGAGTATTGCGAGTTCACGCCTCGCGCTATCCCGCCTTCAATTTGCGGACTATGCAACGCGGACATCCATCAAGTACGAATAGTTGTATCTCTGCGCCGTAATCCACGTAGCTCTTTTCCCACGCTCTATTTCCACATTGTGTTGGTTCTGCTTGTCAAGAAAACTTTAGTATAGAAAGTCACGATGTGGCATCTGGGCACGTATTTTGATAAGTTGCTATTTCATAAGCTCCAATCACGAGAAGAGGATTGTACATGCCACGGCCAACTGACCGCCAGCGGGGAAACATTTCGAGTCCCTCCTCAGCTATTCTTCAGTTCTTTACACGCTGCACCTTCCGTAAAATTTTTGGTATCTTCTTTCCGTTTATATTCACTTCCGAGTGGGGAAGGGTCAACTAGTATACCGGGGGAGGGAGGGGGGTCACGTTCAAGATGGTCACGCGGGACTAGTCTCGGAGGAAACTCTCGTTGTGCGTTAGCGAGATGACACTTCAGGCTGAAGGGACAAAAACAGAACTGTACTTAGCATCGAAGCGGTGGAGGAGAGTGGACTAAGTGGTGCAGTTTAAGGAGGACACACCGACCATCTTACCCTCACAGGGATATTCTCGGTGGGACACTTGGCAACACCGTTGAAGATTTTCGTTCCGAGTCGCCCGGGAGGGGTAATTTAATGACCGGAAATGAGATCAGCCGGATGGAACGAATGATAAATATTTGCAGACGGAGTGGTTCTTCCCGGGTCCGAGAGAGGATTGCCAGCTCACGCTATCATAACCCGTTTGAATTATGCAAGCCGGGCGAGCTTTCGTGTAAATTTGGCAACGTTGCCTCCCGAAGGTTCAGCTCCAGAAAATAGTGAAATTTTCTACTTTCCTGGCGAGTTTTATCACGGCAGAAAACGAAGTCTGCCATTGTTTGCACTCAACTGTCCGGTTTGAGAGGGTGTGCGAAGGAATGGAGTATTTGCAAGTGCCTGAATGTTTATTTTCATTCATATGTAGAGAGTATAAAGTGAGTAGAAAATGTGAGTCCTCTCGATTTTTAAATTGAGCAAATGTTGAATTCAAGATATATCACACTGTTATTTATAGTGAAATGATCTTCTGTAAATGGAAAAAAAAATCTCTCAATATTTTATGGAGGGGAAAAAACTTTGGAAGTAAGTTATTGGTTTAGCAGATTCTGATAATTTCTAAATTTTGAACTTAGGGGCTACTAAATACAAGTTTCACAGTTTGGGTTAATATTATGTTAAAATTTGTTTGGACAGTTAAATGACCATCTATATAATATAAATAATACAAATAAATAGATTAATGAGGAAATAAATGTGCGATATTATAAATGATTTAAGGTCGGTGTATTTGGAAGTGTAGACGATAATAATTGTGTCATTGTCGGTTGCTATCGTGATGAGGCTGATCTCTGTTATATCTTTGTCAAATCTCCATAATCCTGATTTCTAATTTGTCGATTGAAAGGTAAAATCACGGGCTACGCAATCTTACTACTCCATCATAAACTTGCAATCGTGGATGTATGAGCTGTATTCTCTACAGTTTCAATGACGGAAGAGAAACGCCTTCAACACGCACCGCAATCTCCTGGAAAAATTGTGATACCACTATTCGTGCGTCACGAAAGTCATTTTGCATAATCGGCTGATTGAAGGCGAATCCTGAGCTTCCAGCGCGACACACACACGAACGTCTTCAATACTCTGCGCAATCTTAATTCGAAATTGTGACATCATTATCTATGTGACACGACATAGTCACTTTGCATAGCAGACGAATTGAAGGCAAATATTAGATTTCGAATTTCCATTGAAAAGCACCCTTGAACTACAGCTAAGAAATGATGATTGTCGCAAAATGAACGTAGAGATAAAGAGGGCAAAGGTACAACACTCGCATAGACGATCCTTAGCATCCATAATTTACTGTAGTTTTCCAATAAAAAAGAGAAAGTAAAACTCATAATGATGATAATATATTCATTTAAAGTTGGCGAACTTTATTCTCTTGGAAGAGAAGGTCATGATAAAACACGAAAAACTGCATCAAAACAAGATTAATATTCTCTTTAAATATATACAATAGGTTTTTTCAGTAAAACTTTCTTCGAGTGAAAGAGATGCGGTTGATAAAGCAAAATAAACTTTTAACAACCTGCTTGGCCTGGTTAATCCAATCCAATCAGAGGTGCGACATTCCGGTGAGGACCTTGCTATTTTTCTCAAAAGAACGGCAAACCAGGATGGAACCAACTGCGGGCTGATTATTAAAACTGATAGACAAAGCAATAGGCAAAGATGACAAAAAGAGAATGAAATGATCCTATCAGTGTAGTGGAAACGGGTATTTGCAATGGACAGAGGAGGTAAAAAATAAACTACCTAACGGCAAACCACGAGAGACCCAATAGTTAGACCACAATTTTCTCCCTTCGTTTAAAACAATCACCCGTTTCAACGGATGACATCCCTTCATTTTTTTTTGGTCTACTTTGTCTACAGCTTTGTCTATCAAATTCAATAATAAGCAAGCAGAGGCTCCTAAATCTAAAATGTAAGAATTCTAAACCCATAACGTATAATGTTTCTATACACACCGTAACAACTGCCCTACAGGATCGGATTTAGGGGGTGACCGCATGTGGCGACAATTTTTTTTTAAATGTAGGTATATGAAAAAAAAAAAAAAAAAAAAAATTGGATTCAGAAAAAAAGTACAAACGAGAAAAGGCGACAAAGTCTCTCATTTCCAGAGAGTATAGTAATTTCTAATGTTGTTGTCTTTTGGTGATACAAGAGACAGCATCTTTAATTTGTCGAGTTAAGAGAGAAATCAAACACGCAATTTGGCCTGGAACGGCGCGGCGCAGGGAGGAATGATGTCGAAGGACTCGAGATGAAAGAAGCCTTCGGCGCGGTGGTCGGCATGTAACACATATTAGCGCCTACATAAGTGCATGAATACTTCACGCATTGCGTCAAACACAAAGCGGTCAGTAGCGGTCGACGTGGAACGCATAGCGCCTACAAGACTGCATGAATACCTCACGCATTGCGTCGAACACAGTGAGGTCAGCGCGACACGGCGCGGCGGCGGGAGTTAAGATTGCCAAACGATATTTATGTTTGTTCTTTCATAATTTTTTCGTTTATTTCTTATAAATGGAAGGCCTTGTCCACACAGAGATAGGTCTACGAACTTACTTTCGGGCAAAGTTCCGTGAACTTTTGGTAGTTGTGTTGACAGGGCTTTCGCAAAAAATTTGTCCAACACGAGTTAACACGTCTTATGCACACCTCCCCCTGTTCGTTTTTATTGATGTTTCAAAACGAATGAGGAGGAAGCGGCAAAATACAGGCGGCCCATGGGCGGCAAGTAGGTAAATCCGTCCCTGTTGCCCCACCGAGAAACAGCCCAATATTCAGGGGAAATAGATATTCGCCGTATGTTCTTGCAATTCAGAATGGTATCTTTCTTATTAAGAGGTATCCAATTTTGCCAAAATCAAATACAAAAATTGAAATACTAATGTCGTGAGAAAAAGAAGGATGAAAATGGGACAGGTCCATAAGCCGCCATTAATAGAGCCAACGTTAAGCCGATTTTCTCTGGAGGCATAGGAGGACATCAGAAGTCGCTCCTCTGCCGTAAGGGTGTATCTGAATCTCCACGAGAGCCCTGTTGTCCATATGACTCCATGCTTTTGGGGGCTCATGTGAAAATTGAGATACCCCTTATGTCAGAACAGCGACAGAGTAAGTATCGCGCAGGCTCTCGCTCCTTCGGAGGTCTCAGAAAGCACGTGATTATTTAATCTCTAATATAAAGAGAGTCAGATATATCGCAGTGTTACCAACGGGAGTAGCAAGACTGCGGAGATGAAGTTCTGTAAAATCAAGCCGACTGCTACGTTTGAGCGAAAATTTTATTATAAAGCCTTAGATTAAAAGTCTCAATAAAAGTCCTTGAATTAGATTGGTGGAATGGACCAGTGGACGAGCTGCCGAATTAAGCATTTTAATACACGTTCCTTGACCAAAATTTCACGCAAAATACGATACGCGCAATAATATTATTTTAACTAGCTCCTAACCAAACTATTTAAGGTTTTTCGATAAGTGAATTCAAACATCTCGCTTAAGAAAAAAAAAATTCGAGCGTCCACCTGAGACAATTAACGTACTGAAAGTTACCGCCCCAGTCTTTGCGATATGAAAAAATGGCAATCGGGGCTTCATAAGGCGCTGAAAAAGCATTGCTAAATAAATCGGTTGTTTTCAAAAGGGAACAATCAATTTTTGCATGACCCTTGGCTTGCATAAAAGGAGCATGCTACCTAAGACTCAGGACAAGGATTAGACATGTTCCCTTTTGATAACAACTGATTCAATTATAAAGTGTATCAAACCGTTGTATAGCGCCATTTGGATTCAAGTAGACCGTTTTTATTCTTGTGAGTTGGGAATTCAAAATCCTTGTAACCAATGTATACTAAAAACGCAGTCAGGAGTTTTTTTTCAATAAATTTCGTTGAGGAAATAGCGTTCCATGTGATATTTCGGTTGAAAAACGTGTATCAGAATGCTGAAATTCGTACCTTGTCTACTGGTCCATTCAAATTAGATTGGAAAACTCCATTTGGAAAATTTGTTCCTCGGGAAGACGGGAGTACAGTCCCAACGTCCCTTATATCCATTTGATAATTACTGGAAGGTTTACCTTTGTGGAATCCTCTTCCTTTTTGGTGTGGTCGGCAATGTAGCGAACTCCATCGAAGGCTTTGTGGAGCTCGGGGCAGTGATGCCAACGTTGCGGCAAGTGGTGACTGCTGCTCGTCGGCACTGCCGAGCCGTTCTCGTTGGGGGATGGCTCCGGGGTCACCCCTCCGCACCCGTTTTCCCCGAGGGTGTCCGGGAACAGTTGCGAGAGGGCCGGGGGTGCTCCGTGAATCTCACAGCTACTTCCTATTATTGTTGGTTCCGTGTCCCTGCCAAACAAAGTTCATATCAGCCACACCCGCGCGCACATTCGAAATATCATTCAAGAAGTTTCGCACGTTCGGTGACCCAAGTTTTGCACCTGGATTTCCACATGAGTCGTCAAGGACGCTTTAGAGTTCTCGTTTGGTGAAGCTCATCTGCCGTAAGTAGGGGAAACGCCGTATGAGCCTTTAGACTTACAAATTTCGGATAAAATGTTTAAATATTCTTCCCCCGATTTTTCGAGGATTTTGTTCGTAATTTGATCAAAGTGTCTGAGAAATTCAAGGCAAAATATTCATAACTTTCTCCAAAAATAATATTTTCTGAGAGAAAATTTGGCAACATTTGAATGCTCATATGACGCTCTTCCTTATAGCAAGGTAGTCGTGTGGAATTGCAGGGCTTGAAGAACAAGGCGCATAAGTGCAGTTTCTGCTATTTCGAGAAATACGTGTTTAAAGTTCCAAAATGACATGGAACGGTTTGGCAGAAAGGAAGTTTAAATTCACTTTTCGGTGCTTTAAAGTTGGATTTTAGTTGTGAATTCTCCACAGAATATACTTTCAGACTAGTTTCAGTTGAGTTCATGAATATCTCGATTTTTTTCAAAAACCGCACTCATGCCGCCTTGTCCTCCAAACCCCTCAGTAGTAGACAATTTTCTCATATGGAAACTATATCTGCATACATTGGAGACCACACATGACCTTTTAAAGCAATGTGGACACGTCAGTTTTCGGAGCTAACATTTTCTAATGGTTACTAGCGCTCGCCTTGCCATGTTCATCAACAGGGTGATTGAAATGCCCCGCACCACTTTTTTAGACTCAAGGCTTCTTGCTCTTTTTCAGGAAGACCCCCCTCAAAATTGGGGGAGGGGAGTTCTAAAAGTCGTTTTCTTCGACCTCGGAGTATTCCCTAAATTTCAACTCTTTATCTCAATTTCTTAAAGGGTAACAGCAGAGAAGATGCATGGTGCCGTCGGTGAGGGACTTTGCATCACCCTGTATACTGATTCGTCGTTTCTTGGACGGAAGATCGTAACTACATTTCGACGTTGCTAAATTTTCGCTCGCAAATGGTATTTTTACCAGAAAATTGTTGGAACTGCAAAAGACTTAAATTTCACTGATGTTTTTTCTGATTGCACGCAAATATCAGCAAAATTTTAAAAATGATTTGCGCAGTCATATGCCTGTAAAAAATGGAATTGGTTGAGACAAATTTGCAACATTGGAACGGATTTACGTTCCTCCGTCTGAGGAACGATCGATTATGCGAGGCTCCATATTCATGGCTAAAGTCACAAAATACCGATTGAGACATGGCAAATCTCTGTTCGTGTTAAACTGTTAGAAATGAGTACCATAATAAATAGTTTTTCTCGAAAACTCGTCAAACTGGGTTCACTTCACCAACAGTTTGCTCACTTTAACTTTTATACAGAAAAAATAATAAAAAATGTGATCCGAACTGTATGTAACAAGGTAGCACTGGCTCCACACTATTTTGAGGGGAAATATTTGAACATTTTGGCTTGCTTTCCCCTCAAAATAGTGTAAACCCAGCTCTATTTGATCAACTTGTTATAACTTTCATATTACAACCACACTAGGGGAAAAAAACACATTGTGTCTAGAGTCTAGACTCTTAAAGACATCGACAAGAAAAAATACTCTTGATTCAATCGGATTTTTGCTTAAATCAAGAACCAAGCCTCTTAATTTGAGCGGATTTCCTTTTGATTTAAGCAAAAGTCCGATTGAATCAAGAGTGTTTTTTCTTGTCAATGTTTTCAAGAGTCTGGACTCAAGATCCAATGTGTTTTTTTTTCCAGTGCACTGTTAAACTTGGATAAATGTTCATTTCCAAAAATTATGTAAGTCTAGAGAAAATTTAGCAATTTAGAGTTTGGAAATTTTACCGCCAGCAAGGGCGCTTAATAGTGGAAAGCGGTTTCGAGCCGCTCGTAGTTACTTTGAATTGATCCATGCGGCGAATATCGTGCCTCCTTTGTCGTTAGAGTGTATCTCGATTTTCGTATGAACCCCAGAATGCATGAATTTATATGTAGAATAGGGCTCACATGGAAATTGAGATATGTCCGAAGGGCGACGATATATAGAATATGGAGTGGGAGACGCGAGCAGAAGGATAAAAGCTGGACTAGTTAGTCCGGTGGTAGGGAGATTGGGCATTGGATTAGGGCCTTTACCTGGAACTGTGTTGGAAGACATATTGAGCAGGGGTGTTTAATAATTCACTGGGGAGAGCGGGAGGTGCTGCGTGGTGCGGGAACAGACTCGAGTCTCGGAGCTCCACGTTCCCGTTGCATGTTCGCACCATGATCCTCTGACACGATGCCGCCAACCTGCACAGAAGTAATGCTACATCAAAGAGCATCCCACGAGGAAATTGCAACTGAGGCCGCCGTAAGCGGAGCTAATCAATGTGCCCCCCCCCCCCCCCCCCCCCCCNAGGCCGACCACAGGGGACAAGGTCCGAAGTCCTCGGAGGGAAAATTTTCATTCCAGGGATTTTTGTTGAATGGACCGGTGGACAAGGTACTAATTTAAGCGTTTCTTATACGTATTTCATAAACAACATTTCATGTAGTGTGCAGAAATACCACTCTTTAGATTTTGTTCGATCCTATACTCATACAAGTCCCCTATCGTAGCCCAATTGAATGATATCTCAAGGTTGCAGGATTTTTTAATAAATCAAAAACCTAAATTACATGGGGGGGGGGGATTAACGTAGAGCACGATTCGCAAAATTACTGAAAGTAACTCCTAACTGAGATATTCACGATTTTCGTTAACATTGGTTACACGAATTTTGAATTCCCGCTCACAAGAAAACCAATGGTCTACTTGAATAAAATACACACTTGAATAAAATAATGCAACAGAGAATTTTACAGTATAACGTTTAGTGTACGATTTTTCTCGTGTAGACCTTTGTATTTTCATAAGCGGGAGGTTTGAATTTTTGCGTCAAGAAACAGTGAATATCTTGGTTATCAGTTGAGTTTAGTGTTTTACGTGAAATGTTGGTAAAAAAACATGTATCAGAATGTGTAAATTTTTACCTTGTCCAATGGTATACTGTGTCAAAAAAATAAATTTTGAGACTTCGACGAGAAACTCTCACTCTCTCCAAAGTTTTAAAATAAATCTCTAAATGCAGAGAAGGAACATGTCCACCAAACCAAACGTTACAGGAGCGACATAAAAAACTGTACAAAAGTTCTTTAAGGTGAATGAAAACTTTGGAAAAAATAGAATTCGGTGAGCATTTAGTACTAGAAGTAAAGTCTTACAACTACTTTGTGATACATTGATTTCACAAAAATTTAGCATCCACATTGATTTGATTGACACTTCATTTTCCTGAAATTAACCCTTAGATGCCTAAGCCGGGTCAAATTGACCCGAGTTTTGCAAAGAACACGAGACCGGAGGGTTTTATGGGACCGGTGCACACAAACTTTAAATGTAGATCCACTGATATAGCACGGCAAATGAGCCGCATGGATTACGGCGCAGAGATACAACTATTCGTGCTTGATGGATGTCCGCGTTGCATAGCCTGCAAAATTGAAGGCGGGACGGCGCGAGGTGTGAACTTGCAACTTCCCGCTTTATGCTGGCAATGAGGTGTTGCTCAGATGTGGGAGAAAAGTTTAAAAGGAGCCCAAGTACGGCTTTCCCATACCCTCGGCTGCGTTAAAACTGGATTTTTTCCCTATCCTAAAATATGTCGTAAATAAGAATCAGACGTCAAATTAAAAACAAGCGGGAAAGTTCTAATACTGTCGTATTAGAAAAGCGCTCAGGTCTTAGTCAATGTATTTAGTGAAAAAAGGAAGTATAAACTCCGTCGACTTGGCTGGGTAATGGAAAGAAAACGTCAGCTGATAGCAAACAAAGGTTACCAAGGAAACCGTAAACGCGTTTTTTCGTTTCCCGGAAATGATAGTCACCGTTGAGCTCATCAGGCGCGTTTTTTTTAGGCTTCATTTGAGTTCAACGATCAATTTCGATAAGAATTACTCTACCGCTAAGAAATTTTCTTATAGATAAACGATCGAAACTACCTGCGCAGTACGTTAAAAAAGTAAAATACGGGTTTCACAGCTTTATTTATTTTAAAACTGGACCCCCCCCCCAAAAAAAAAAGCCTACACATCGATGAGCTGGTGCGCCATTTAAACGAATTAGCACCAGTATACTAGTACTCTAGAGGCAAGTCGAAATCAAAAAGCGCTGCCTATCGGCTGAGCGCTTAAAAGGGAAAAACTCGAGTGTTAAGGCAAACGAGGATAAGAGAGCCGTACTAGGGCCTCGTTTTTTAACTTCCCTCCCGAGTCTGAGCAACATCTCATCGCCAGCATAATGTGGGACATTGCAAGTTCATGCCTCGCGCCGTAGCGCCTTCAATTTTGCAGGCTATGCAACGCGGACATCCATCAAGCACGAATAGTTGTATCTCTGCGCCGTAATCCAGGCGGCTCCTTTGCCGTGCTCTATTTCCACATTGTGTTGTCTGGTTGCCGCGATGCAATTAGCTAGAAAAGGGGATTTATTAAAGTCCCTCAAGAACCTCCTGAATCTGAAGGGTTTTTTTCTTCTTTTTTTTTTCTTTAAACCAAAACAATTATTTTTCAGCTGTACTACTAAAACAAACAAATTAAACAAGTCCATAATTCAGTGTGAACGTAAATTTTTCAAACGTATAAAATAAAGTAAAATCCTGCTGACTGCTTTCACTAAGTGGACCTTTATTTTACCTAAGAAGGTTCAGTTCACTGGAAACTGCTGGATTTTCCTTTGCAGTAAGCGTTTTATTATTATGAGAGTCATTTTTTTTGGTGGGGGGAGGCTCAATGGAAAGAGTGTGCGGACCTCTACCCGAGAATTTGTTCTGCGGGGGCTGCATGAAACATGAGAGCAGAGTGATGACTGCACGGTTTTGGGCGGGAATTTCCAGGAACTGGAGCAAAGTTGCAGACCGCCTCCATTTCCAAGCCGTTTATTAATTCATCACCTCGCACCGCGCATGGAGCTCGCATCTCTGTGTTCATTAGTTCGCTCGGAGAGGTGACCGCGGCCCGGTTTCAATCCAGTGCGCAGGGGAGACCCCCGCTCTGCCGTTTTAAGCAAGAACGCCGTATCAACATTCCAGAGTTGCCAAATTTCCCTAGATAAAATGTTTATTTTTGAGGAAAATTAGGAATATTTTTCCTTGAAATTTTCAGGAACCTTAGTTAAAATTGCGAGCAATATTACCTGAAAAGTTAGAGGAAAAATATTCATGAGTTTACCAGGAAAATCGCGTTTTATCCATCGAAATTTGGCAACGCCTCAAGGTTCATACGACGTTTTGCCTTAGCACGGCAGCGCTAGCCTCCACACCTATTTCCACTTTTCGCTTGAGAGGTAGCTCGCCTCACAATGTAATCGGGACTGAGTGAACTGACCGCCAGATAGGCTAAGATTTAAATCACTACGAAAAATGCCTCGTTTCAAATTTCGCGCAGAAAACGGAAGAGGTAACGGAATCAACGCATGAGTCTGGATTCTATGGTTGTGGCTGGCAATTTAAGATGGATCTTCATGCATCTCTCGAATTTCAAATATTAATCTTTGGTTGGATTATTTTAGGAAAATTGAAATGTCAGTCTTTAAATTAACCACTGTGGAATTTTCGTGCGGAAAATTGCACTGCAAAAATTGCACTGCAAATATTAAAACGAAGTCAAAAGTACTGTTTTTAATTAACCATCGATATCTGTACATCGAAATCGGTTGGAAAATGGAAACAGTACTTTTCACCTTATTTTAAAAGCTTTGGAGGATGACTTTCGGCACGAATATTCCTTAATGATTGTTCTGCAGACAGAAATATCGGATTTCCCAAGATAATCCGCCAAATAGATAAAATTTGAAACACATCGATCAGACCCAGAATGCCTTGCGCAAAACTGGAAAATTCTCCCGAAATTGAACGAATCAGCCACCCTATTTAAGGGTTCCTAGTGTAAAAATGGTAATTTTTGATCCTGAAACCACAACGCCTCTCCTGATTTGGATGGATCTATCTATCATTGAAATTTTGACGTAAATTCGAGGTAAAACTTCTTGTATGATTAGAATGCTCCCCCTTTACAGCCTAAACCTAAGAACTTTTTTATTTTGAGCTTGAGAATTGATATCAGGGGAAAAAACCAGCAATCAATATACATCTAAATAATATCTGCATAGACTCCTTTCTAAGTTGAAAGTCATCAGGGTGCTAAATGACAACAGACCAGCAATGAAGCCTTGAATCAAGTACTATGAAGTTATCCAGGCGTGGTATGTATTTATCCTGGGAAGTGATGGTTCGCTGGTGCACGCTTGCAATTCTAACAAGCGCACGACTCAGATCTCACTGAACAAGTGTTAGGTTGCCCCAGCCTCCCCCCCCCCCCCCCCATCCAGCCTCCAATGCTGTCCTACCTCCGACTGCTACTTCCATTTATCAACCTCTCTTCCCCTCTCTTAGCTTTTAAAAGTGACTGCCATTTTCAATAATGCCGCCTTTCCTTTCCGCGCGGGTCTCCCACGAGCTTTAGGCTTGAAGAATGGGAAACATATGCAGATTAGTAATTTCATTTTTTGCTCCGCCCGCGAGTAAATGACTGATGCTTTTAATTGCAAGCGCAAGTTTAAATTTCATTAAATTTTTCTCGACGCCTGTGGGGTTTTTTTTGTGACGGCAAATCTATCAGAGAAAGTGTGCCTTCGCACAGTTTTCACTTCTTCAATAGCGAGCTCAACCTACCAGCATCACTAGNTCGCGCAGAGAACGGAGGAGGTATCGGAATCAACGCATGAGTCTGGATTCTACGGTTGTGGCTGGCAATTTAAGATGCATCTTCATATCTCTTATTTCAAATATTAACATTTGGTTGGATAATTTTGGGGAAATTGAAATTTCAGTCTTTAAATTAATCACTGTGGAATTTTCGTGCCGAAAATCGTCTTGCAAAGATCAAAACGAAGTCAAAAGTACTGTTTTCAATTAACTATTGATATCTTTACATTGTAATCGGCTGCAAAATGGAAACAGTACTTTTCACCTTATTTTAAAACTTTAGAGGATGACTAAAGGGTATCAGGGAAAAAATCATGCAATCAATGTACATCTAAATAATATCTGCATGGAGTCCTTTCCAAGTAGAAAGTCATCAGGGTGCTAAATGACAACAGACCAGCAATGAAGCCTTGAATCAAGTATTATGAAGTTATCCAGGCGTGGTATGTATTTATCCTGGGAAGTGATGGTTCGCTGGTGCACGCTTGCAATTCTAACAAGCGCACGACTCAGATCTCACTGAACAAGTGTTAGGTTGCCCCAGCCTCCCCCTCCCTCCCCCTATCCAGCCTCCACTGCTGTCCTACCTCCAACTGCTACTTCCATTTATCAACCTCTCTTCCCCTCTCTTAGCTTTTAAAAGTGACTGCCATTTTCAATAATGCCGCCTTTCCTTTCCGCGCGGGTCTCCCACGAGCTTTAGGCTTGAAGAATGGGAAACATATGCAGATTAGTAATTTCATTTTTTGCTCCGCCCGCGAGTAAATGACTGATGCTTTTAATTGCAAGCGCAAGTTTAAATTTCATTAAATTTTTCTCGACGCCTGTGGGGTTTTTTTTGTGACGGCAAATCTATCAGAGAAAGTGTGCCTTCGCACAGTTTTCACTTCTTCAATAGCGAGCTCAACCTACCAGCATCACTAGTTCAACCCCCTGGGCCTCATTTTAATTTTAGATTGACTTTAAAAAAATCTGAGGAGTAGCAGCAGATGACGATCGCTGATGTTGCCAGTTCTGAGCGGTTTTATTTTTGTGTGTAAGTGAGCTGTTGAATTGGAAGATTTCTTTGCAGGATTTTTAACCTCGAACTTTTAAGAGGCTTTCCGCGACTGGGTTCGGTTCACTTTTTGAATGGATGACTGTCGTATCATCGTTGAAATTTGGGCCGATCAGAATCGAGTATTTACATTTCAATCAAACCCCGGAGAAGTTTAACCGAAATCTGGATTATATTTAAAAAAAATTGATCAACGCAACAAGAAGTATAAATAAGCCATGTTTTCGAAAAATATTTTACTCTTCAAGATTTTCGGTGAAACCTTTTACTCCCATCCAATGCTCGACTCATCTCAAAAGGCAAATTTCCGAGACTGGACTCAATCGAGTTTTTGACCTAATGCCAAACTCACAAAACAAAATTCCCTTCGGACGACGATGCGCCTACGTTTAATTTTCATACTGGCAGCAATGACGGCCACATCCAAAATTCTCGACCCACCTCCCGAGGTGCAAACGGATGCAAACGTTGGCCGAAATTCATCAAGCACTTGAATTTAGTTCTTGACTTTCATAGAGCGTTTCTCTCCTATGGTTTGCAACCCTGCCGATGCGGTTGAAAAACTCGGTCAAAATCAATCGCGGAAATTTGCCAGAGGTGATGTGTCAGAAAATTTTGAATTTGGTTCAAACTCCGGTTGTTGATGAGCTCAACGGACTCGCCGAAGAAAAAAAGGCGCTGTAGTAACATCCTGGATGTTAAAAAAATGTGCGACAACTCTTGGATGTTGTCATTACCACTCTGGCTGTTGAAGTAACATCCTAGGATATTACTTTTACATCCTATCATGCTACGCTAACTGCCTGAGTGATAATAGCAACATCCAAGAGTTGTCGCACATTTTTTTAACAACCGTAACATCCGGGATGTGTCTATAGCATCTTTTTTTCGGTGACCATTAGATTTGGTCGAGAAAAAAAGGACCGATTCAAGGATTCTGTCCAGAAAGTTAGCCGAATCCAATTGCGTTTTGCATTTTTTTATCCGTCCCGAATTGAAATTTCGAGGGAAAAGCGACACCGGTGGGAGTGAAAGTTCCCGCTCGGGTCAACGGGGTCGACGGTGGGTGCTTCGACGAGAGGGGTGATTTAGGAGACGACACAGCACACAGCGCGCGAATTCTGGCATGAATGCACCTGTAAAGCCGGCATTGAGCGAGCATGCCCCCCCCCCCCCCCGGCCCCCCGGGCCCCAGGCGGCCTTTAGAAAAGCACTTCAGCCGAGTGAAAGTTACTTAGTCAGAGAGGAGAGCGGAGCAGCGCTAACTCACCCGCGCTTATCAACCGGATAGTGTGGCCGTCTCATCACCAGGAGTTTCGGGAGGATGTGAATGAAGACTCGTTTCACCCACGGCGCCATCGTGTGCGTTTGCGGCGACCTGAAGTGAACGTTCAGCACCACCACCGTCACGCAGATGCTGAAACAGAAAACACGCTTTCAGAACGTTTCGGAAAACCCGGGATTAACCGCACCCCAACGACGCCACGCCGCATCATCCAAACCTTGGCGAGGATATAGTTCAAAGCGCACCCGCCACTAATCAGGTTTTTTTCTGGACCTCTCAGGAACTAAGCGACGCAATGCGATGAGTCATTAATCGTGTCATATTCTATATTAAAAAGATGAGATTTGATGAAAGGGTTTGGTGGATTTCTTAACCTGAAATTTTGACGGTCATACAACCCAAAAAGTTTTCCAAACCTTTTTCTTTATGACATTTGGACTGCATTTCGCAATTTGGAACTACAGATTCTGGCTCATCTGAAACAACACTTATGTGCATAGGGAAACCAATGACACATACGTTGTTTTTAAACCGGGCCAGAATTTATAGTTCCAAATTGCAAAATGCAGTCCATTTTATCTACTTGATCACAAACTTGACTTCATTCTGCAATAAGAATTACAATTATTGTATCAATTTAAAAACTAACGTACGTAAAGTTAGGTTCCTTTTGCACATTGGTGTCTTTACGGATGCTGCGGATGCTTACGGAACTACAATTTTTGGTTCGATCTAAAAACATGTATGTACCATTAGTTTTCCTATGCTCAGAGGTGTCTTTGCAGAAGAGCCAGAAATTATATTTATTAATTGCAAAATGTAGTCTAACTGTATTTTTATCCAAAGTGTTGTAACAAATGAGGAGTCACTCGGAAGATGTTATCTAATGAGTTCGATTAAATTTTGCAATAAGCAACTACGATTTCTGACTCATCCCTATAAAAGCTGCCATCTGGGTAGGGAAACGGATAGTTCATACGTTTTTTTTTCAAAAATAAGCCAAAGATAGTAGTTTCTCATTGCAAAATGCAGTCCACTTGTGTCTCATACTTCATTCAAACTTAATGAACTGTATTACCAGGGAAAGTAAACGAGCCTGTATACAAATGTATACAAAATATGGTAATTCCCAAAAATACTATCAATGATTAATTTAACTTTTGAAATAAAATATTTTTCCGTTTAAAATTATTGGAAGGCTCGAATCTGCACATATGTCCCCTCAATACTAAAAAGAAAGAAAAAAATAATGAAATTTTACGTAGTTAATTATATGACCGAAGACTGAGACTTACAATCGGCGCGCGGCGTCTAAATCTTGGAATTATTACCTGAAAGTGTCTAGAATCATTGTAAAAAGTACAAATTTTCCAAGGAGAGGAACAACTAGAGAGGTTGGAGGAATAATTTCGGCGAGAAGCAGGAAGAACACAGTCAACGACAGCAGGATCGAGATTGAGAGACTCACCTGAAAAAATAGAGTAGCAAAAAGTAGTGATACAGACAAGGTATCGAGCTCCTAAATTGGAATATGAAATAAATACTTAAATAGCAGTAGAATATGAGATTTACTCGGCTTCAAAGTACTTTTACGTCGATGGCTCAAGTGCGAAACCACGTATCTACATTTCGGTGTTTTAAAATCCCTGCTCCTATATAGTTTATTTTGTCAACCTTATTACTTATTCATACAGAATATTCTGCTAACAGTGAAAAAAAAATCAACATAGTTTTGAAGAAGTACGTCGAAAAATTTTTCAAGGAGAAGATTAAGTATGACAGGAAGTCTGCAACGTCGCAAATGGAGATATGTGGTTTCGCACTCCGGTCACCGACAAGGAATATCAGGTACCTACTAAAAGTAGCAGGCTTCATCTTCGAGCTACATTGAGTTAACGAAGCTCCTTTTAAGTTATTGCGAGCTTTGAAATTTGATGGCACGAGAGTTGGTCGGTTTGAAATCGTTTATCGATCGACGGATGGCATTAAATTCGCCAGGAGGCAACTCGGCCAAGTTAGCGTCGCAAAAGTTTCGGGAATCCTGGACTTTGGAAAGTGAGCCACACAGCGGGAAGGAAACTTCATTTGACCGGAACAGAGTCATTATCTCAGATTTTCTACGTTACTTTCGAAAGCGCCCTAATCTTGAAAACTACCAGATTGCCGAAGTTTGGACGCGGGAGATTTTCGTAAACATTATTACAGAGCTGACCGTGGTTGTTTTGAATCTGCTGATTCAAACCTCAAATTGTAACACAGTGTAATGTTGAGAGTGTTTAATTTTTTATTTTCTACTACAAACGATGCGCAAAACATTTTAAATCGGCTTTAAATCAATTTCTCGGGTTGATAAACGATAGATAAAAACCATTTAATCGGGATTATCTTAAACTCACGGTTATTTCCACGTTTTCATATACTCGTTCATATCTGATCAGAGAAACGGAAATGCAAACATTACGCGCCTTAAAAATAGGAATACATTAGAGTGAAAAGTAAAAATATGTGCGCAAAGCCTAGACGCTTAAAACACTAAGCAGAAATAAGGGCATTTTAATCCCTCTTAGACTCATTTTCAGCTTCAAAAACAATGACAATTAATACAACATGTTTAACGAATTAATCCAAATTTTTAATGCAAAAGGCACAAATTCTGTAACTGTAATCGGGTCTTCACTCAATTTCATATAGTATTTTTTTTTTTCTTCTTCCCCTTCTTTTTTTCCATTTTTATTGCAGCCTAAGATGAGCCGCTGCCGTCTTATAATGACCTGTTTTTTAGGTAGTTTTTCAAAACATTTTAGCCTTGTTGATCTAATTTGCTACCACTCTGGCCTGGTCCTAGCCAGAAACTGGATTCAATTAAATTCACTTGCGTTAGTCAATCTCACCGCACATTCGATGAACCTTGATATTTTCCTGCGTAACGCATTAACTCCATATTTTACAGGCCTTCACGATCAATGATATAATCTCATTCGAACAGACCCCCTTTGTGCCCTTAACCTCAGATGTTCCTTTGTATTTTTGGGATTTAAAGCTGTTTATTTCTTATTCGGAGTGAGCAACATTCATCATGCATCTGGGGAGCAAACATGGTGGTGGTGGAGGGATTTTCGGGATTGAAGGTAAGACCCCCCAACTTTAACACAACAATAAGAAAACTCGGTTCGTTCTAAGAAGCAAAGAGAGCGCGGCTCTACTTACTTTTTCACCGCTGTCAGAGGGCAGGTAGAATACTAAGACGGTTAGGAAGGAAATTCCCATACAAGGAATTATGAGATTTACAGTGTAAAAAAGCGTCTTTCGACGCATCGTTATGTTAAATGTAATATCTAAGTAAGGTTCATCACAGCACGTATAGAACTTCTCATTCCTGCAACAAAGCACATAAAAGAGTAAGAATGAGGTCGAGAATGGCTTCTTGAAACGCAAGGAGAGAATTATTTTGAGGAAGCACGGGTGAGTGTTTGAGGGCTCAGGCATGGGAGTTATTTTAGACCCAATTCCGTGCGTTTGGCGCCTTTGTCTCCCGCTTTTATCACTTTCATTTGGATCAGGTTCTTCGGAAAACTCGGAGGAATTGGATTCAGGATTTCGTCCACTTTTATTGGATTGAGCAGCTTTACACGGCCACGTTGAGGATAAACGTTGTATGAACATCCAAACATTGTCGAATATCTTCATACAAGTATATGTATTAATTTTCCGGAAAAGTGGTGGATACTTTTCCTCGAAACTTTCAACAAAATTCGATTGTATTGTTAATGAAATTTTGTGAAAAATATTGATGAAAATTACTCATCAACCATCGTGGAAACTCGTTTTTTACCTGAAGAATTTTACAAAGTTCGGATGTTCTTGCAGTGTTCATCCCTGGTCCAGCAATACAGCATGACTTTGCTGTACCAAGAAAGCTTTAACTAGCTTGAAACGTCACAGTGAATACTAATTTGCTAAAATATAAAGTTTTTTCTTATTTTAGGAACAGACCAATCATTAGCCAAGGTGCCTTAAAAATATGTAATTTTCTTTACTTTTTTCATTGTGTCTAATAACACCGTAAGGCTTTCCCCTCCACAAATTGATGGCTGATGTGGCAAAATGTGTATCTTTATTCTAGCGTTCCAAAATCCCTGATTATCTTTTACTTTTTTAAAGAAAGTTGGCCCGTATGTCTCTCTTAAATTTTTGTTTAATATTTTTAAAGGTGTTTTTCATATTAAGGCATGAATGTATGAAATCATGCTGCGTAATGTAAATTATTGTCACATTGGCTATAGTCAGCAATCTGTTTGAATTGGCATCAATAGGATGCATTATCGTAGCCTTCCTCAATTCATTAATTTATGTTTACAGGGGAGGACGCATTGACTACAGTGGCGATGCGTGAGTGACCGATTATCGATATTTCCTCATTTGAAGCTATGGTAAAGAATCGATTGTTAAGGTGTTCATTATGAACACCCTGTTTATCGATCCTTTTTCATAGGTTCAAATAGCAGATCAATCGATATATCGTTACCTACCAGGCAAAGTATCAAAAGCGCCATGCGACGTTTAAAAGTTTCCGCCGCCATTTTATTTTTTTACAGAGAAATTGTTCAATGAAGCTGTCCGAAAATTTCACTGAATTTTCTTTGTGCTGCCGATAAAATTTAGTGAAATTTCCAAACAGATTCAACCAGCAATTTCTCAGTAAAGAAATAAAATGGCGGCGGAAATTTTTAAACGTCGCATGGCGCTTGTGATACTTTGCCTGGAAGGTGACGATATAGCTCAAAGCACGCCACGCCACTGATTATATACTGTTTTCTTACAGATCGTGGCAACGCCATTGCAATAATGATCATCGGCTGAACCTCTCAAGGAACGCTGCTAAGCATATAGGAGAGGAGCGATTTATTTAGGAAAAATGTAGACTCAAAATCGCGGTTTGAAGGGTTTATTCAAATGGTTGCGGGCACTGAAGTGTGCTCTGCAACGTGCTTAACTTAGATTTATTGTATCACAACGGCCGCGACTTAGCATACATAAGCAATGATTTAACGGAGTTGCAAATCTGCACTCATACAAAAGTTGGACTAGAATTCCTCCTTTTCTGCTGACTGCGTAAATAGATTCCATCAATAAAGGTATAAAAGCCATGACTTATGAAAAATGCACTTCATTTGAATTTTCATTAATTACTATCCCTCCACCCTCTCCCTCTCCTAAAAACAACATATCATAAAAGAACAAATAATTTTTAAAACACTGAAGTTTCAAAATTCGGCGGCTTCCTGACATAGGGGCGGAAATACAATCTGCAATGAACCCTATCGTCCACACAATTCAATGCTTTTCCGGGCTCATCTCAATCTGTAGTTACGCCCTTTTGTCAGCCGGGAGACGAATTGACGTTTCAAATTAAATTCGGAGTAAAACATTTTCTCCGGAAAATTGCGACTAGATTTTTTTTTTGTTTTTTTTTTTATTAAAAGTGAGTTTTTGGCAGAAAACTAAGAATCTGAAAAGAACAATTCCCAAGAAATTGCAAGAAAATCCTAGTTTGCACATTTGTTAACTAAAGCTTCTAATGTGATGCTTCTATTGTATGCACAATAGTGCGGCCTCAGAGCAATTTAAATGACATGGTGAACATTTCATATACATGGGTACTGAAAATTTACATCACTTACCTCACTGCCGGAACTTCTAAAATATCCCACTCTACAGATGTATAAAATTCTGAGAGATCAACCCCTATATTTACAACATTTGAGCCAAAGACCTCATCGATATGCCTCAGATCTACCTGAAGACAAATGGAGAAAAAACACAATTAGTATAAAATTGTTCGCGAAAAATCACTTATGAGCCCTGTTTCAGTCAAAATAACCTGAACAGTTACCGTATATTTGCTGCTCGCGCAAGAACAATTATAGATATACACATCTTGAGCAAGGTCTATGAGTATAATTCAGAGAAGAGAGTTAAGTCAGGAATGAGTATAAAGTAACAATTTTTGAAAGAATAATTATTTTTCCTATACTACTAATGTCATTAGGAAAGCTAGGAGAAATGATTTCAACCAATAAGAATTGTGTCGCGGAAGTAATTATTGTCAGTCCCATGATAAGCAAATGGGATATTTTTTTGTCTTAAAAAATGCGGTTGTTTCAAGGGTAATACTAGTTCATGTAGACTTAATCCTACGATGCATGTTTCGCTTCATGATATTTATTTTGATTCTGACAGGTCTTTTTACCGATAATTTCTTCCTTAAAATGTGTTTTCCTAGAAACTGAAGATATTGTCCCATCTTCGAGTTTGTTAGTGAGCTTCGTCCTGATAAAAAGAAAAAGTGTGGCCAATAGCAGTCTGAGTAAGAGAAATGGGTCTAAAGCGAGAGGGAAACAACATAGTTTAACAAGTTGGAAGCACAGAGCATCCTCTGATGGAAGGTTTTTCCTTTTTTCCTCGCAGGAAATGCAAATTTAGACAGCATGTTTCCGGACTTTTGTGATTCACCACCGTCATTTAAAAACCAAAGTACCTCCCGACTGAAATGAGCGAGGACATGCCCTAAATTTACTTTTTCTTGGTTACAGATTGAGATTTAAATTTAAACTCTACGGAGCTCGGACCTTCTTTGGTGGCCCATTCGTTTCATGTTTTACGCGATGTAGAGATTCTCAGCATTGGAACCCTCTGCTTTTTGTACCCTGTTCATTTAACGATTTCTGGGATAAAACTGTAAGAATGTTCAGATTTCTCGTCTCAGCACTATGAAATACCTCCATTTCTGGTCGCCAAAATATGAAATATTTTGCTGTGTATCTTTAAAAACTAAAAATAAGATTTAGCGCCTTAAACCATAACGCCTTCATTGTTTGATATATGCAACACGACCATCCATTGAGCACGTTTAGTTGCATCCAAGCGCCGGCGGCTTTCGTATCGTCGTATGAATATGTTAGCCCACGAAATACAACCAAACAACCATAATATTTTGTTTTAATTTCAACAATCCTAATTTTTTCTGTCAATATTTTACGATCATTCAGTTCCATGAAAAATGTCGATTGGACATAAAGTAATTGCACGACACATGATCATTTCAAGGTTTCTGCAACGTCTTCGGGTTCATGTCGTCACCTTCCAGGCAAAGTATCACAAGCGCCATGCGACGTTTAAAAATTTCCGCCACCATTTTATTTTTTTATAGAGAAACTTTCGGTTGAATCTGCTTGAAAATTTCACTGAATTTTATCGGCAGGACAAAGAAAATTCAGTGAAATTTTCGAACAGTTTCGTTGAACAATTTCTCTGTAAAAAAATAGATTGGCGGCGGAAATTTTTAAACATCGCATGGCACTTGTGATACTTTGACCGGAAGGTGACGATGTTACTGTGCTTTAAAAAGTCGTTCGAATAGTCTTAGAATAAAATTGAAATTATTCAATTATCTCGGCAACTCTGTCGGATGCAAGACGCGATTGCGGTCGACAATCACAACAGCTGTTGTGTTCCTGTACAGAGCCATAGTCGCTGCGGTTGACCCTTTTTACCGACTCATTTGCCACATAATTGCCGTGCTGTAAAACCCAATTTATTTATTTTTGGCGTAGAGGGGGGTATTACATTATTTTTTAACTAGGGGGCGACGCCTCTTATCGCCTCGCGTCTCACGCGACTCTTGCGATATGAGAATATGGTGTAATATTTATAACTTTCAATTTTAATGAGTTCTCGTCAAGGAACAAAATGCTTTTCGAACCCAAAAATTCATTTTATGAAATTCCGTGAATACTCTTTTTTTTCTTTTTCGCCCGATTATTAGATTCCGGTTGTCAAACTAACACTATGGCCATTTTGGCTTCGCTGCCATCATCAGGTGCTTAAAACGAAAAAAAACTAACTAAAATTATCACGAAACTGAAGTTAAAAAAAAAAAAAAAAAAAA